ATGGAATACCTAAGCAGACAGTGGAAGATACTAAGCTCAGTTCTGTGATAAAACTTAGGGCAGATAAATATACCATGTGTAAAGCCAAACACCCTTCTGTGTTAGATGTCCTAAGAACGAGAAAAAAGCAATAATAGGAACAATTTAGACACAAAACTAAATTATCAGCTATGCTCCTTGGACAACCTCAAAAAATTGTTCCTACCTAGTAAAATTTTTGCCATCTGTATTAGGTATCTGTGAGAAGATAAACCACCATTCTTCCCTTTGATTTGCATGAAGTTACAATATAAACAATTTCATTAAAAGAAGTTGCAGGAATAAAAGTTTGTCAACTGAATGCTTTTTTGTACCCCTGTGGTTTTCACCAGGTTTTCTCGGTTTCAGCACCATTTTTCCTTAATAATTCCATCAGTAATAACAGTGCCTTTATATTTCACTATGTAAATTTGTATTTTAAGACTTTAAAACACAACCTGATCTGCTAATTAAAAGGATGAAAATACATTACTGTTAAATTTAGAACCGGCACCTAACTTGTAAATTAATACCACATATACTGTAACCAAAAAAGCTATCAAACTATGTCCAAAATAACAAGAACAACTGAAGCACAATCTCTTATATTCACTGGCCAAACTTCTTTCTAAGTAAATCAATCAGCCCAACTCTAAGGACTTTGCTTTTTCATTATTCTATCATGCAAATTCATAGCCCAATATCAATTTAGGCTAGAAGGAATACAACTATTCTTTTAGTAAAGACCTCAATATCTGTAAGGATTTATAGTAATAAAATCAACAGAGTGAACATATAACATTTATAAGCAATCTGGTAAATATTTTATTGGGGTTTTCCTCAAGAATATTTTTAAATTAGGAAACCAAACTTCAATCAGAAAAAGTTACAGCTGTTTCTTGCACATCTAAAATTTTTGCAACACTGAAACCTTCTAGAATACAAGATTTCTAGCATTTTCATCACCGTATGTACTGAAATATTGCTAATTTATTCAGATGCTTTCATGCATAATTACTAGAAACACAAATCTGTTATTCTTCTATTCTAACATCAGATAGGAAAAGCTGTCCAGTGAATACTTTGAAAAATATAAGTAATTGCAAATATTAAATTATTAATTATACCACAGATGCTGTCTAATGTACCGGTTTAATTTCCTTAATAGTTTGCTTTTTCTATTTAGGCTAACATTGGGAATGCAAAGCCTGATTTCAAGTTTTGCCTACGCAACAGATGACTTCTGGCATAGCAAGGTTTTTCCAAGGATGTGACAACACATAAATTGTAACACAGTTGAGAAAGTGAAAGTCCTTTTTAAGGACATCCTTTTACTGCAAACCTGTATTCTTCCTTCTAAAGGCTTGGTGGTTTTTTTTCCAATGTGGGAGAGAAGTGCTGTTAGGTTTATTGTGTTGGTACAAAGAATCACTTTTCTGCTACTGCTGTATTGACTTGGGAAGCTAACAAAGTACACTTACTCCTGTATCACCAAAGGACCCTCAGCTCCCACGTGGTTTGTCTCTTTTCTGAGTGAAGTATCTGATAAATGCTGCACTCTCCAAATGTTCTGCTTTCTATCTCCCCTGCTTTTTTATTAGGCTTTTATTGTCTGATTTCAAACCAAGGCCTTTGCCCCTTTTAAGCAGCATATTTGCAAAAAAAAAAAAAAAAGAAGAAAAAAATTATTATTAAGTTATAGGCCTGATCTGGTCATTATTAAATCAGCAGGCACTGAATTAAATTCAATCTTCTATTCCACAAGAAACTCACAGTAGAAACACCTGCACCACAAATATTGTAAGATGGGATGCCACTTGTTAACAGAATGTTTCTATTTATAACAACATGAAGAAATTAGAACTGTACCTATAAAAATTACCAGAACGTAATGGAGAGATTCAATCAGGAATTGTTCCTATCCATAACATTGTGACTTCCAGTGCTGAACCATTGTGAAGAGATACCTCTGTTTCCTTTACAAGCTTCCACTTTCTCTCATAGAATATAAATGTTATTTAGAAGCTTGAAACCAAAACATTTTTCTTACCAAATGCTATTTTCCTTCATCATATGCTGAGAATGAATGGTTCTTCTTGAACATTCAGCTGCTAAAGAGAAAGAAAAAGTGCATATCAAATTTTCATTCTGTCCACTTTGACAAAGAATTTTCCACATTAAGGCTTAAAGAGAAATAAAGATGCTAAATCTCAAAATATTGGTGCAGTCAGACTGATTTCTCTACCTGTCCAGATTCATGATACTCTTTTTAATGTATTTCTTGAGAAAATGAGGCAAAAAAGAAATTATGCAGATGCAGAAAGACTGGAGTATACCACAGGGAAAATGCTAGAAGAATAATGAGAGTTGGGATCCTAGTGCAGACATATTTTGAATAATTTGCCATGCCTGTTATCAATGACATCTCAGTCAACAACAGAATCTGGGTCTGAACAGACTGCTCCGCTTGCTGCCATGTCACTGGAGACTGTCGCCAGTGCTTAAAAAGTAAATTACCCTGAATGAAAAGATTCAGAGCAGTTGTTGCAAAACTTCAAACCACTTTTTAGATGTCAGAATTACTGGTAATATTATGACTTGGCAAAATAAAAATTATCTAATAAAATAAAAGTGATCTAATATAATACCTTGGTTAAAGGATTTGGGGAATTTTCTTCCCTGGCAACATCACTTATCCAAAATGTTTTGAGAAAATATCTTAAAACTATGTCAATTCCTTGTGCTATTTTTCCAAAAAAATTTTAAGATTGTTACAGCTAAAACTAGCTTTAACAAAGCAGCTAAACCTTGGAAAAACGATCCTTTCTGCTTCTTTGCTGTGCAGTCTTTCATGAAGGTTTACCCACTACTTTAGTCTGGATGTTTTTCAACGACAACTGTGTCATGCAGAATTTAGGGGATTTATGTATACAAAACATATTTTAGAGGCATTTAGAACTGCATGTGTTTTATTGAAGAATGAATGTCTTAGCAGCTCTGGAAATAGTAGTCAACTGGAATCTCAGGTGTCAAAGCAGAGTAGGATTATAAAATGTGCTTCAGAAGAACGTTGAAACGAATTATTTTTTAAGTGTTTAGTTTTTAACCACATTCTGAAGTAGTGTGGGGGCTACTTTTATGCGTCTTCTGAGTACCACTGTTAATTATTTTGTAAAAGAAAAGCAAAACAAATTTCAAGCACTGTTTATGGAAGGGAATTTAAGATCAAATAATGCATTGTACAAAACACCAAAGCATTCACGGTTGGTCAAACACTGCAGGGGAACATCATCCAACACAACACTGACACATGCTAAATGTTACATCCTAATAAATACACATGTAGGCAAATGACAAAAATTATTTTAAAGTAGCTGTCACCAGATCTCTAATAGATTTCTATTACATTGACTAAGATACAAAAATAATAGTAATAATAATCTTTAGAATAATATGTGTAGTAACAGTAACAACAGTTACACTTGCCCACTATACAAATACTCGGTCTGTTGGTGAGAGACTGCAATTAAAGTCGTTGCCTGTCCTTACACAGCTCTACAAATGCATGGCTGTTACATTAACACATCACGGATAATTGCTTTTACTGTAGTTACTTTAAAGTATCTGTTAACAAAACTCAGGAAATTGCCCAAGAAATGGCTTGGTTTGCACATATTTTCTCTATTATATTACAGGAGCATCTTAAGCAAGGATGATGCTCTGCTCCTCTTGGCACTGTACAGGTGTGAGTTTATCATCACCAGAATAACCGATACAACAAAGCACACTGCGTAGCTACTGTAAATTCTAGCTTCTTACATAAACTATCTGATGTATACCAAGTATGAAGGGTTTGCATAGTGGCAACAGTAATAGTTCTTCACACGGGGGTTTTCACACTATCCTTAAAATATGGGCAGCTAATATTCAGATGGGCAGCCTGCTTTATAAGAATCCACAAACTTAGTTCATATGCCGCTAACCAGATATTGCTCATACACTTAAATTACAGCAGGAGAAATATACTATCACTTAATTCACATTAATTGCAAAGTATATACTGATTTACAAAACAAGAGTTGTACTTAATATCCATTCTTTTTTTTTACTTTTAAGGGTAAATGCACATAAGTACATTAAAAAAAAAATCACTATTAAACAAATCCAATTTAAAGCAGTAGAAAATTAGTCAAAAGCAAGTTGTGCTACTTGCTTTGTCTGAAGTTGCAAGATGAAAAATGCATTTGAATAATACTGATGCCCAAAATAGATTATGCTTCTTCTTATACTTTAAAGACTATTTTATATTTATGAGCTCTTACCAAATGTATACGTCTATGAGAAAACTGTCACTTTTGAAAGCAAAAGGAATTAGCTAGCAATTCATAAAATCTGAGAAATGCTCAAGAGCTTCAAGTAACAGTGACCATGGAAAAAGCTCCACAGATAAACTGATATACATCAAGTCACATCACACTTTTACAGCTGGTCTATATTTTTTTTCATTAAGAAACCATAAATAGATTAGAAAAAGTGCACTAGTTATTGGCAGCCACTGCAAGGTTCTTGCTAACACTTCTATATGTGGTCAGAGGGGCATCTTAAATTAGGCATTCTGAAGGGCTTTTTTGCATGCTTTATCTATTTACAAGAAAATGCATTCCCAAACAAGTAGTAAGCAACATACCATACTGAATGCACCTGTTAAATGCATGAAGATAAATGCAAAGTTCCATCAAGTAACTGGATGTAGATTGCTACAGAACTTCTCAAGTACTAAGACCTTAAAAAGGAAACAGCAATCTAATAAATGCTGTAGTGATGCACAAGCCTAGAGCTTGCTGACCACACGATTGAGCTGCATTTAATTTAGTTCAGGACACAAAAATATATTTTTTTACAATAAGCCATTCCGTTCAGGTAAAATGTTCTTCAGCTTACCAACTCCAAAATTTAATTTGGTTGATTTTTTTTTTTTTTAATTTGGTAGAGAAGACCTTATGAAAATTCTATTAGCTTGTACCTTCCCAGCGAAGTGGACCCCAACATCTGTCTTGACATTATGCAGGTGCTTTCAGAACGCAGTCTGAGGGGTTTGTGCCAAGTGAAACTGCTCTCATCATTTAATTCTCAGTGTAATTAAACTCAGTATAATTCTCCTAACATATATCACAAAATTGTCAAACATTTATGGCTCTAAGCTACACATTTGTATAAACTTTTATTCATATTACTACTGCAGAGCTATTACTTCGGAGACTGTAGCACTATTCACATTCTTAGATGTCCATACTTTTCTCATAGAACAGCAAACACAACAGTTCTTGTAAGACTGTTTATTGAATTTAACAGTTCAGACTGAGTTTAGATGGAGTTTAGATGCAGTTTGTATAAAAAAATTCTGTCAAGTCACATAAACTGCAATCAAAAGTAACTACAAAATAGTAAGGGACTTACTGAGATCGTAAATTTCGTAACATGTAAAACTATACAGTATTTGTGCATGCTTGCTATTTGATTTCCTTCTGAAGAGCTGTTAAAAGGAGTTTATTTTGTTTTTAAAATCTCAAGATAGTCTATGAAATGTAATCATCGCATCTCAATTCAGATATACGAGATCAAAACTGGCACAGAGGAACGTAACATTATTTTTCCCAAAAAGTTGAGGCAGCTTTTGTTGAATGGCGTCTGCATCAGTAAACGTTTTATAAACTCTTGTGGCTTTGGATCATCAGAGAGAATCCTTTTTTTTCTCTTGACATCTTGAAAAAAACATTTCCCACAAGTGCAGACAGGTAAGGAGGAAACTAAGTAGCAGCTTGTTTCCTACACACAGCTGAATGCCATGCTCAGCAGTCCAGTATCTCAAAACAAAAATTAATTTGACATCACAGGGAGGCATATCCCCCTCAAGTTACAAGCATGTCCGAGACTTTTCAGGGGAGATGGAAGCAAGCACAAGGGTAAAGCATAAGTCTACTTTTCATGCATAGGTACTTAGCACTGCCCTGCATTTGGGGCACTTCGTCAGACATCCGAGTTGGAGCTGAGGTTTGTTAACCTGGGGTCTGCATTGATCTCATATCTGTAGTGGTAGCCCTCCATGTGATCCCTACAGGCATCTCTGATGTTGTGCATCCACTTTTTGATTCCTTTTCGGTTCAAGTACAAAACTAGGAGGAATATGGCCCCAATGAGAGCCAAGACTATCCCCAGGAAGACGTATGAAGTCTGTAGCTGGGAAGGCAGGTCTATGGGCACGGAGCAGTTCAGGTCCGAGCCATTGATCTTCAGCAGGGCTTTGCCCAACATCTTGTCAGGGGAGGCACAGGTCAGGGCTTCTTTGCCCTCCACCTGGTCGCTCTCCTTGAGCCAAGCCACCAGGTCCTCGATGGCACAGTCACAGACCCAGGTGTTGTGGCCCAGGACGATGTGCCGGAGCGCAGGCAGGCTGCGGAACTGGGCCAGGGTGCTGTTCCTCAGCACACCCAGGGAGTTGTCGCTGAGGTTGAGGCTCTGCAGCTGGCCCAATCCCTGGAAAGAGACATTTCGCAGGCCCACCAGGGAGTTGTTGCTGAGGTCCAGCTGCCGCAGGGCCGGCAGGGCAGTGAACATGCCGGCGGGCAGCAGCAGCAGCCCGTTGTCGGCCAGCTCCAGGCGGCTGAGGTTGGGCAGGGCCCCGGACTGCAGCAGGGCGGCCAGGCTGAGGAGGACGCCGTGTTCGCGTAGGGCCCCGCGGAGGGCCAGCTCCTCCAGCGGGCTGCCGCCCTCCCCGAAGGCCTGCGGGCTGAGGGAGACCAGCGCGTTTCCGCTGAGGTCCAGCTGCCGCAGGGCGGGCAGGGCGAGGGAGCCGGCCTCCACGGTCCGCAGGTGGTTGCCACTGAGGTTGAGGGAAGCGAGGTCGGGCAGGCTCTGAGCAGGGAAGGAGCCGGCCGGCAGGTCGGTCAGGGGGTTGCCGGTGATGAAGAGGCTGCGCACGTAAGGCGGCAGGTCGGGGGGCACCGCCGTCAGGTTCCTGTTCACGCACTTCACCGTCTTGGCCGGCTCCGAGCACTCGCAGAGGGCCGGGCAGCCGCCGGCCTGCGCCGAGCCGCAGCCCAGCAGGACGGGCAGCAGCAGCCCCAGGCAGAGCGCGCCGCGCCCCGGCATCGCGCCCGGCCCGGCCCCGCACGCAACTTTTCCCTCCGGTCGCCTCCGGCTCCGGGCAGCCCTTTCTTCGGGGGCAGGCGTTTCCCCTCGGGGGCTGGCTCCGCTCCGCTTTCCGCAGCGAGACCTGCGGCAGGGGAAGAAAGGGAGACGGCAGCGGCGGGGCGGCGCGGCTCCTCTTGCTCGCGCCCACCCACCCTC